TACATTATCATTATAATTGTTATCATTATTATTGTTGTTGTTGTTGTTGTTGTTTTTATGTATTTTAAGATACAGAGAGGAAAGGAAGTACTTGAAGAGATACTGATAATGTAGACACAACAGAAAAAAAATAGACTGATAAGCAAAAGTTACATGATGACACCATTTTGAGATGGAATAGGTCTGAAATAATAATTGATTAAATATTTATCTTTATTAGCATCTGTGGCCTTTCATAAATATCATCCCAATTTTCAAAAGACAATTTCTGTACTGGTTAGTTAAAGATGGTTTTCTCAGTTTCTGAATTTGAAGTCAACAGACTGATGAAATGTAGTACACTGGATTGCAGTGTTTACTTCTAAACCATGAAAACCTTTGTCCGTAATTAACAGGGGCCCAAAATAAAGAGTACAATGCTGTTTACCTACTATTACAAAAGTAAACATACTTACAGATAATGTTTTCTTTCTCCACTACATTTCTACTTAGTACAAACTTTATTCACAGATGATGCTTTGAGACTTTCGTTAATAATAACATTTTTATAGTATGTAAATGAAGACAGAACCAATGTAGATTCAATCACCTAACCTGATTAAAGCTGACTGGCCACATGATGGAATCTATAGAAATATTGAAGAACTTGTCTGCTGGAGCTGTGGGATCTACCATTCCTACTTTGACCCTTTTAAAAGACTGGTTTGGGAATGTGATCCAGTTGATAATATCATATCCACCAATGAATTCTCCATTTTTATCAAAAGAGATCTTTTCACCAACACTGTTGTTGAATCTGACACTTTTCAGAAAGGAATGAACCTGCAATACATCAACACGGAGACAGAGACAAAGAGAGAACAGAACAGAGGGAGGCAAAAATAATTCATTTGTTCAAAACATATATATGGATGCCTCCTTACAGAAAGAATATATAAAACACTTTTTGGTTGTAAGCCACTACCAAACAAATAACATAACAATCATTCAAAATTTGCAGTAGAGGTAAAATATCAGATTATTGAAATAAAATTAGCATAAAACTGCAATATAAAAAGGGAAATAAACTGCACTTTGTACTTTAATAGTACACGCTACTTAAACTACCGTACTACATTTGTTACTTCTAAAGACCTGTTAAAATGCCGGGTTGTAAAAATATAAAAATATCACACAAGATAAATGACTGCAGAATTTTTTCACCTTTAATATAATATAAAAACCATACAGTTTAGTTTATTGTTTTTCACTTGAATTGAATCTGAAAACTTTTTTTGGGGGGTGGAGTGTAAATCAAAATAAAAATGTATAAAATGTGGTTGTGTAATATGCACACTGTTAAACTAATATTTTGTTGAAGTGTCTTTTGATTTTGTGACAGCATTCATGGCACATCCTATCTTTCTAACCTATGCCCACTCTGGCATGCCAAAGCGGTCCAAATCTGTAATATTGCAAGGGCATCTCCTGTGCATTTCCCTCTTCAGGTCAGCCCACAGATTTTTAATCAGATTCCGATTCAGGGCCATTTCAAAACTTGGTTGTTCTTCTGATGAATCAATTCTTTTGCTGGTTTGGAGGTATGCTTTGGGTCATTGTCATATTGAAAGGTGAAAATCCTCTTCATCTTCAGCATTTTAAAAGAAGCTGAAATCTTTGTGCCAAAATTGCCTAATATTTGGAACTGTTCATAATTCCCCCCACCTTGACAAAAGCCTCATTTCCAGCTGAAGAAAAGCAGCCCCAAAGCACAGTGCTAAGTCTTTGCTGTACCTTTGGTGATGCACAGTGTTATTTTTGTGCTTGTGTTTAAAATTCTGCTTTTAATTTCATGGCCAAAATTTCAACATTGGTCTTATCGTTTTCCCACATTCTTTTGTCAGACTAATGCATGTTTTTGCAAAATGTAGCCAGGCTTGGAAGTTTTTCCTTTCTTAAGAAAAGGCTTCCTTCTTCCTACCCTGGCCCACAGCCCAGACATATGAAGAACATAGGAGATTGTTGTCATATATACTACACAATTAGTACTTGTCAGAAATTCCTGCAGCTCCTATAATGCTGTTGTAGGTCTCTTGGAAGCATCTTGGACCAGTTTTCTTCTTCTTTTCATTAATTTTGGATGGACATCTAACTGTTGGTAAAGTCACTATTGTGCCATATTATCTCCACTTGTTGATGACTGTCTTCACTGTGTTCTATGATATATCCAATAGCTCGGAAATTATTTTGTACTCTTCTTCTGACTGAAACCTTCCTACAATGAGAGCCCTTTAATGTTTTTTCTGCTCTTTGCAGATCATGGCTTTTGCTGTAAGAGGCAACTGAGTAAATGTCAAAAATCGTACTAGAACAGCTGTACTTTATACAAGCTAGACTAGAGACATTTACATTGATGCAGGTGTGTACTGACTACTAATGTCCATCAGTCTGAATGTGATTTGTTAATTCTGAACTCAGCCATATCCCTACTTACAGTAAAGTGGGCACAGTTATGCAACCAATTTATTCTATATTTTATTGTTATGTTTCCCCATAAAGGATTTCAGTTACATTTTCAACTGAATTGTACAGCTTTTAGGCAATATCAATATTCCTAGAGAATATTTGCTAGAGTTTGCCAACAGATGTTGCAACTACAGATATTTTGGTTTGTACACTACACCAATTACAGACTTACCTCCCACCACATTTGATTGTGAAACTTTTTCCTTCCTTTTTTCACTGTTGCTTTTTCCCTGGATTTGGCTAAATACAGAGATTGCAAAGCATGTGCCACAACATGGACTGCATTGTAAATATTGTAACTCTGACCGCTCATGTGTGTTTCAAACACAGATATGGGAAGGGTCTCAAGCCTCTCCTCTCCACTACATTTCTTCTCAGGCCTCTCCATTTTTGAATTTGCAAAGAAACAATCAAATGCCTGTTCCCAAAAATCTTTCCAAAAATGATCTTGATGGTTGTTTTTTGGACTTAAGTTTTGAAGAAATTCCTGGAAATCTTGGACCTCCTTGGAGTGAACTGCAAAAGATAAAGCACCATGTAGAAAATGGATATCCCAATATTTTTGAAAGGAAATTGAAGTGTAATCTGTCTGAGCTGTTATAAGCCAGATCTTATTCTTCCTTGGTACATCCTCCACTTCTGAAAACTGGAGGAAACTTCTCAGAACTGATAAGGAATAAATGTTACCATATAAGATGATCACATTAGCTGTGCTGCTCATGAGAACATGGTATATATGTATTCCATCATCCATGGTATCAGTAAAATCACTGTAAAAAGCTACATTTGGCAACTCTGCTATGAATTCAATGCAGATGCCATGCTCAGAAAATGTTGGGAATATCTCCTCGAGAAATTTCTCTCCTTTTTTATCTTTTACTACAAGAATTCCAATCCAGATCCATCTAAAATATAGCAATAACCGCAGAAGGCCATTACGTTGATGGGATTCATCTGGAAACATTTGTTGGAAGAAAATTGATTGAGTCTTTCTATCCATGACTTGAACTGAGCCATAGGACAACTACAGAAAGATAAACATATGCAATTCCTAAGGTCTATGTGAGCCTCTGAAAACATGAATTTTCATTTGAGTCTTTGACTACCATTGAATTTATGTAATGAAATACTAGTCATTTTTATTTTGAAATATCAGTCAAGATGTCACTTTGAAGGTATTACTAAATATCTTTCCCTGGAAGTAATTTCATTGTGAAGATTTTACATTTGAACCTTAATTAAGTTTCTAGAATTGGAGAACAATTTGCTAGGCCAAATATCCTGACTGTCTATTCAGAGTTACAGTTATTGATGCTGCTATGTTGATCCTACCAAGCAAAAAATAATAACTAGGAATCTGAAAGTTCTCTTCTTTTTACAAAGAAAAGCATACAGATGTCTGGGGAGGTATGGCAGGATGATAATGTACATGTTCAGGACATTTTACCTGAGGAACTTTGTAGATGCACAATATAGTTGCCATGTGAAGAGCAATGTCAGGTGTACCAATGACTGCAGCCAAAATCTTTGGGATCCCACACTTGTAGTTAGGGATGAATTTTCCCTGAGTGAAAGGCAGCAACATTGAGGCAAAGTAAGTCCAGCCTGGGCTAAAATGGCTGTTAAAAATGTGAAAGCCCAGTGTTACATTGGGTAGAATTTGGGAGTTTTCATTAATCTGTTGTACAGTAAACACTAAGGCCAGGATATGCTGGTAATTCTGAAATTACCTATGTAAACAACTTAAAACCATCTGAAAGCCTCCTGAGGCAAAAAGGAATGAGCCACAAGATCAAAATAAAATCTTGGACTCTATAAACCAAAACAGAGATGTAAATAAAGGCATAGGTATAGGCATTGATTATAGCTACTGTAGATCTATTCTATTCTATTCTATTCTATTCTATTCTATTCTGTTCTGTTCTGTTCTGTTCTGTTCTGTTCTGTTCTATTCTATTCTATTCTATTCTATTCTATTCTATTCTATTCTATTCTATTCTATGAGCCGAGGTGGCGCAGCAGTTAGAGTGCAGTACTGCAGGACACTTTAGCTGACTGTGTCCAGCAGGTCAGCGGTTCAAATCTCACTGGCTCAAGGTTGACTCAGCCTTCCATCCTTCCAGGGTAGGTAAAATGAGGACCCAGATTGTTGGGGGCAATGTAAATATATATATACATTGCTTACTGGTGTACACCGCTTAGAGAGTGCTTGCACTTAAAGCGGTATATAAGTCTCATAAATAAATAAATAAATAAATATTCTATTCCATTCAATCCTCCAGTATATAATACTGTCCCCCACTCTCTACACCATTTCGGACAGGTGACTACTCAGTCTCTTCTTAAAAACTTCCCATGTTGGAGCATTCACACATCCTGGAGGCAAGTCTTCCACTGATTAATTGTTCTAAGTTTCAGGAAATTTCTCCTTAGTTCTAGGTTGCTTTTCTCCTTGGTTATTTTTGATCCATTGCTTCTTGTCCTGCCTGCAGGTGCTTTGGAGAATAGCTTGACTCCCTCTTCTTTGTGGCAACCCCTGAGATATTGGAACATGGCTATCATGTCACCCCTAGTCCTTCTTTTCATTAAACTAGACATACCCAAGTCCAGCAAAAATGTTCACTTTACTTATGTCTATATTTAGATTTTAGGAAAAGCCAGAGACTTTTTTCTTAATGCTTTCCAAACTGCTTCTTTCACTTCGTTGTTCCTAATGGTGTAAATGAAAGGATTCAGCATTGGGACAACTATAGTATTCACCACAGAAACAATCTTCATCCTACTGAAAGAAGAGTTCTTGACAGTAGGTCTTAAATAGACAAAACAGACTGACCCATACAACATGCAGACTACAACCAGGTGGGAAGCACAGGTAGAGAAAGCTCTCTGCTGTCTGGTGGCTGAAGGCATTTGGAGGATGGTCGAAATGATGAAGAAGTAAGAAACAAGGGTGAAGAAAAGGGAGGACATTACCACCATCACCATAATTAAGAACCCCAGTGCTTCAATGACTCTAATATCTCCTCCTGCAATCTTCAACACAGGTCCCACATCACAGTAGAAGTGATTGATAATGTTGGATGTACAGAAAGGTAAATTTGCCACCACTATTTCCTGGTAAAGAATGGAGAAAAAGCTTCCAAACCAGGCTGCCATTGCTAGTTTCAGGCAGACCCCAGAGGTCATGATGGTGGTGTATCTCAAAGGATGGCAAATGGCTAAGTATCTGTCCAAGGATATGAAAGTGATGATAAAATATTCCGTGACCCCAAAAAAGAAGTAAAAATACAGCTGGGTAATGCAGCAGTTGAAACAGATGGAATTCTTTGCTGAGAGATAGTTAACCAGCAGTTTAGGGATAAAGGTTGTGGTGTGTCCAATGTCAATGCAAGAAAGGTTGCTAAGGAAGAAATACATGGGCTTCTGGAGATGGCGGTCCACAATTACCATGACAATGATGAGCCCATTGCCCATCAGACACAGAATGTAGATCAGAAAGATGCTTGCATAGATCACATTTTCCATTCCCCAAACACGTGGCAATCCAACAAGAAAAAATTCAGTTACTCTTGTACAGTTGGTCAAATTCATGTTTCCCTTCTGTTACAAAGAGAGAAAATATGAAACCTTCATCCAAACAACATTTAGCTACATTTCAAAAAACATTTTTGAGACATTACTATTGTAATTGGAAATCAGAAAAGAAAACATAACATGAGGGATCCTTGGTGCTCTCTGAGCATGCTTGTTTTCTTACAAACGTTTCATTACCCTAACTAGGTAACATCATCAGTGCTAGAGTGAGGCTAGCACTGATGATGTTATTGAGTTAGGGTAATGGAACGTCTGCAAGAAAACAAGCAAGCTCAGAGAGCACCAAGGACCCCTCATTTCAACCCTGAGCTACAAATATTCTCCTTCATTGGTAAAACGTAACATGACATGACATGACTAACATAATATAACATAGCATAACAACTCAGAGAACATAGGAGAAACAAAGTTGATTAGGGGCCTGGAGACCTAAACATATGATGAATGGTTGCAGAAACAGAGTATTTCTAGTCCAATGAAGAAAAGGGTGATGGGTGCCCTGATAGTAGTCTTCCAATATTTGAAGGGCTGTCATAGAGAAGAAAAGGTAGACCTTTTCCCCAAAGCACTTAAGTACAGGACAAGAAGTAATGGATGGAAAATTTTCAAGGAGAAATCTATCCTAGAACTAAGAAGAAATTTCCTGACAATGAGAGCAACTATGATGAGATAACAACCTGCCTCCAGAAGTTGTGGGTGCTCCATCACTGGAGGTTTTTAAGAAGAGATTGGCCAAAATATACAAGGAGGCTAAAATATACAAGGAACGGTTGCTGGAATTGGGTATGTATAGTTTAATGAAGTAAAGGACGAGGGGGGACATGATAGCAATGTTATAGTATTTCAGGGATTTCCACAAAGAAGAGGAAGTCAAGCTATTCTCCAAAGCACCTGAAAGTGGGACAAGAAGCAACGGATAGAAACTAACCAAAGAGAGAAGCAACCTAGAACTAAGGAGAAACTTCCTGACACTTAGAACAATTAATCAGTGGAACAACCTGCCTCAAGAAACTGTGAATGCTTCAACACTGGAAGTTTTTAAGAAGAGATTGGACAAGCATTTGTCTGAAATGGTATAGGATTTCCTGCCTCAGGAGGGGGTTGGACTAGATAGCCTCCAAGGTCCCTCCCAACTCTGTTATCCTATATTCTGTAAGATTTAATTTTCAAATCAAGTTAAGGACATACTTAGGATTTTAAATGAGACATTTTAATATAAATTTTAGAATACCAGTTATGACTTCTAACTCTCCATCACTGGAATCCAAAACTTATGAGGCCAAAACCCAAAAAAATACTATTAGGGCTCAATGTGGTGTCTGAACTTTGCAGATGTTATTTCCAGATTCTTAAATACATATTGATATTTTGGAAGAGAGTAGTAAAATACTGAAAAACAAAATAAGGGATGTGATAGAAAAATGATGAAAAAGAAGAAGAAGAATCTCTACGGATGACATGGAAACACTGGCAGCTAGCTGAGAGAAAATGGATTTAGAAGTGGGGAATTAATCCAAGTACAGGGAGAAAGTTATGAAAGGATGAAAGATTACATTGTGCAATAAGATGAATATTATCTGAGATTCTCAACAAATGAGAATGTAAAGGCACCAGATAGAGAGAATGGGATTCATATATGGTCAACAAATGAATCCACCAATGGAAAGAGTTTTAAAATTTAGATAATGGAGATAAAGGTAAATAAATGTCTATAGAAATATGAAAACCAAGATGTTTCCCTCTATGGGCAGTTCATTTTGTGTATATGCTAGAAACTCATCATTACTTTTCTGGTGGAATTCTGTTCCATATGCTTGTTCTATGGATCTAAAGATCTCTCCATTCTTACCTTGACTTGTTCTTTCTTTATTATCTGCTTTGTTGTCCCCGAATATCTTTCACTCCAGCTCTCTATTCATTCATCAAGACAATGTTTTGAAGAACCACAGAAAAATATGCTTCGTGTGTTAGGGAAAAATATCAAAGATAGCAAACAAATATTTGAAGAAGAAGAAATGTTGAAGAATTGAAGAAGTATTTTCTTCAGAAATATTTTCCTTAACATTTAAAGAACATACAGCAAATAGTATTGTAGAAGGTTTTTTTTAGTGATTTTCTACAGGAGCTTGAGAGACAATCTCCAAGGATATTTGTCTTTAATTTCCCATGAGTATCCATGCAATATACCTGAAATATGCTCAAGGCTGATATCCTTTGGACCAAAACTCAAGTGCTATCCCAAGATAGGAGATCCTCTGGAGGACCTCAGTAGGCAATCCCAACTGAAATTTTTTAATAGTTGATCTCATTTACATTCCTTTTCAAGGACAAAAAGAGATACTAATATTTTTTTTTCCTAATGCAGGCCTTAAGAGGGAGTCAAGCTATTTTCCAAAGCACCTGAAGGTAGGATAAGAAGCAATGGATGGAAAGTAACCAAAGAGAGAAGCAAGGAGAACTTGCTTAGAACTAAGGAGAAATTTTCTGACAGTTAGAACAATTAATCAGTGGAACTGCCTCTACTTGTCTAGAAGCTGTGAGTACTCCAATACTGGAAGTTTTTAAGAAGAGACTGGACAGCCATTTGTCTGAAATGGTATAGGGTTTCTTGCCTGAGCAGGGGGTTGCATTAGATGACCTCCAAGGTCCCTTCCAACTTTTATTATTATTATTATTATTATTATTATTATTATTGTTGTTGTTGTTGTTGTTGCTGTTGTTGTTGTTGTTGTTTTTGTTAATTTTGTACAAATGTTTGTGGTACCATCTCTAGAGATATTTATCTTTAAATTCCAATTTGTTGTTGTTAGTTGCGAAGTTGTGTCCGACCCATCGTGACCCCATGGACAACGTTCCTCCAGGCCTTCCTGTCCTCTACTATCTTCTGGAGTCCATTTAAGCTCACACCTACTGCTTCAGTGACTCCATCCAGCCACCTCATTCTCTTCTATTGCCCTCAATCTTTCTTCTATTGCCCCCAATCTTTCCCAGAATTAGGCTCTTCTCTAGTGAGTCCCGAGGCTAGGAACTAGAGACTCTGAGTTCCAGTCCCACTTTGGTTGTGAAATCCAGCTGGGTGACTTTGGACCAATCACCAGGAGACAGTGAGTTCTAGTCCCACCTTAGTCATGAAAACAGGCTGGGTGTCCTTGGGCCAATCACTTTCTCTCAGGCCAGCTTACCTCAGTGGGCTGTTGTTGTGGGAAAATGGGAAGAGGAAAGAATATTGGGTATATTTGCCACCAAGAGTTTTTTTATAAAAATAATAAAAGCAGGATATAAATAAAATCAATTACCCATAAAATAAGGGCTGACATCAACATTCCTCATCATGAAGTACATTGTCAGGGCCTAGCCGATATGTTGGAGATTAATTTATTTGTTTCAAAAGCATGTCTTCATTATCAAAGCTAAATGTTGAGAATTCTGATTTCCAAGAAACATATTATCAGTGTCATTTGTAGATTAATTAGATAGTTGAATTAGATGGAAGATCCATTGTAGCAAAAGAGATGTTTTCATGAATGATGGGAAGAGATATTTTCAGTTTACAGCTTACAGTAATCAGGGTAAATTAATGTCCTTTTTTGTTGAAACTTTATTTTCAGGTGCTGAGTTGCATGAAAGGAGGACAACAACATCAAAACACATTTTCTTTTTTCAAATATATTTATTCATTTGACCAAAAGTATTTTTTGTTGTTGTTAGTTGCGAAGTCATGTCCGACCCATCACGACCCCATGAACAATGTTCCTCCAGGCCTTCCTGTCCTCTACCATCTTCTGGAGTCCATTTAAACTCATGCCTACTGCTTCAGTGACTCCATCCACTCACCTCATTCTCTGTCGTCACCTTCTTCTCTTGCCCTCCATCTTTCCCAGCATCAGGCTCTTCTCCAGTGAGTCCTTCCTTCTCATGAGGTGGCCAAAGTACTTGAGTTTCAACTTCAGGATCTGGCCTTCTAAAGAGCAGTCAGGGTTGATTTTCTCCAGGACTGAACAGCTTGATCACCTTGCAGTCCAGGGGACTCACAGGAGTCTTCTCCAGCACCATAGTTCAAAGGACTAATTATAGCTGAAACAATATACAGAATCAATATGTCCAGGATTTTTTTTTAAATGGATATGTATTTCTAACTTTCAGCCAACAAACCAGTTTGAAGAAAATCAGTAGAAATTCTGCCAGGAAAGGACCATTCCAAATTCTGTTATTCTGCTATAAATTCCTCTAAAGGCTATTTTCCTCAAACATCTGCCCCAAAATTCACACAATTTAACAAAGAAACTTAGTTACTTAGGTTACCCTAATCTACACACCTTATAAAAAAGTGTGGGTGGGATCCACCATGTGCTCCATTTGTGTGCATGCACGTAAAACCATCTCCACCCCTCCACACATACCAGGTCTTCTATCAAGAAAGGTTGGGGACCCCTTATGTTAGACAAATTAGCTTGTCTGGGAAATAAAGTCCACAAGTCATATAAAAGCCAAATTTGAAGACCCCTGACTTAGAGCAATGTATCTGTGAAGCTTTCCAAATGTTAGAGGAGAATAAATGAAATCCAGAAAATGGAAGAAGTGGAGAACAGAAATAAAATGTGCTGGAGCAGAGTCAAATTGGGAAGTTTTAACCCTAAAAGGATCCTTCTGTGGTGTAACATATTGAGATCTATGTTACCACTTTATTGATCATCTAAGGAACATGGTAGCTAATGTGGTGAGAATGCTGGGCTGGAGGTTAGGAAGCCCATGTTTGAGATCCAAATGTTGCCGTGATACTTTTATCATTTATCAATATTTTGAATGGAATAGAATAGAAATTAGGAATAGAATAGAGTAGAGTAGAGTAGAGTAGAGTAGAGTAGAGTAGAGTAGAGTAGAGTAGAGTAGAGTAGAGTTGAGTAGAGTAGAGTAGAGTAGAGTAGAATAGAATAGAATAAAATAGAATAGAATAGAATAGAATAGAATAGAATAGAATAGAATAGAATAGAATAGAATAGAATAATTAGAATAGAATAGAATAGAATAGAATAGAATAGAATAGAATAGAATAGAATAGAATAGAATAGAATAGAATAGAATAGAACTGGTCCCTGGTGCCCAAAAGACTGGGGACCTCTGATTTAGAGAATCAGATGTCTTATACTTTAGTGAAGTATTTTCCAAATGTGGCAACTTGTAAGTTTTGTGGATTTCAGCTCCCAGAGTTCCCCAGGCAGTATATCTAGTCATAATTATGAGGACTCCAAAATCATGCCCTATGTAGTAAAAAAAAAAAGTTAAAATACAAAATGCCAAGAAAAAGAGACAAACAGAAAAAAACCCACAAAACAAACAAGGCATTTAAAAAGTGTATTAAAAAAAAAACTAATTAATGCACTTTTGAAATGACTCGTTTGTTTTGCGTTTTTGTGTTTATTTGTCTCTAAAAACGTTGGTGTTTGGTATTTTAACTTTTTTGAATAAAATAAAAATAAATGGAAAATAAAACACAAAATCATTCCCTATGTATGGTGATATTGCAATCTAATGAAATGTAGAATGTGTGAGGGCAATTCGGAAATAAATCTCCGTTTGGTTATCAATGACAGACATTCGCAGATACAGAACTTTTATTATACACATTAGAAAACTGCAACATGACATTACTTTTTGACATAATCGCCATTCAGATTGAGGCACTTTTCATAATGTCTTACAAGGTTTGAAATTCCTTAGTAGTAGTTGCTCGGCACGCCAAATCTGGGCTATGGGGGTGTGTGTGATCAAAAACATCCCAAACGGAACTGCTTCAACTGCATTTAACAGTGTGTGGGCGAGCATTATCACGAACCAACACCACACCGGAAGTTATGGATGGCTCATCTGAGGTTTTGTAACATTTCACAGTAGACTTCTGAACTGATGGTTTTGCTCCATGAACTTCACTCCTTTGGCATCTTCATAGTTGGCAGGATTTTCTATGGTACTACTACCCATGTGATGTTGTTTCACAATAATGCTCACCCGCACACTGCTAGAACTTTTGAAGCAGTTCCGTTTGGGATGTTTTTGATCACACACACCCCCCATAGCCCAGATTTGTAAGACGTTATGACAAGTGCCTCAATATCAATGGGGTTTATGACAAAAAGTAATGTAATATTGTAGCTTTCTAATAAATATAATAAAAGTTCTGTATCTGCGAGTGTCTGCCATTGGTAACCAAATGGAGGTTTATTTCCGAATTGCCCTCGTATACCACAGCTTATCATAATCCATTGATGGTTGTATCTCCCACCCACCCCATCCACCCCCACCCTTTAATTCATCTGCATTGAAATATGGTTTTCTCATCACAGGTTGTATTTATGGAGAGGCTAAAATGTTTAAAACCTCTTTGGGATATTTTGACTTGGATTTCATTCTATCTTTTGCCAAATAGCCTGAATAATAAAAAATAATTATAAAATAATAAATTATTTTGTGATAATTTAACTTACTGACTAGATATCATTCTATATGGCAGTAGAATATTTCTGTCAGCGCTGCTAATATTGAATATTTTTGCAGAACTGTCTGGTGTTTTTAGAGTTAATTCAGATGGCAGAGAAAGGGGAGGAGAATTATAAGGAAAGCCCGGGAAAAGGAACGGAAGTGAATCTTTGCCCTCCAGGTTAATTGGAAGATGTGAATCATGACCCCAAAATAGGGGAGGGAAAATGCCTGGAATGTTATGTGCAAAGGAAGGGAAATTCAGATTTTGGCATCCACCATGCCGTGCTGACACCGGTCTACACTAATAAAAGGCTTTTTAGGTTAAACCATGCCTGAAAGTTCTTTGAAGTGTTTCATTAGTCAGACACATGACAACTGCTTAAGAGAGGAAGTTCCAAAATATGGGCTTTGAATGGTCACAGTAAATAAGTTCAAATGTTCAATAAAATGGTAACATGAATAGACCTGTAAAAGTGCTACACATAGAAGGATCCTTTTTAGGGGTCACAGTTCACACTTTGAATCTGCTCCAGGAAACTTCTTTCTGTTCTCCACCCCTTCCGTTTTCTGATTTCTATTTTCTGATTTTTCCACTCCTTCTGATTTTCTGATTTCCATTTATTCTTCTAATAGAAAATCTGTGCATTTGTATTCCGCAGGTATACTGCTCTGTGTGTAAATGATACTACTCAGGGAATAGGAGGACAAGAATGTTAAGAATTATTTTCTTCCTCTCTCCTTGATATCCGTCCACTATTTCCCCACAATAAGTGGTCATTGTCAGGTTTGTGACTGAACCAAGATCACTCAACGTCTTCCATGACAAAGGAGGATGTGAACCTCTGTGTTTCTATTCCTAGCCCAACATGTCAACCAATGTACCATATTGTGTTAGTGTACAGCATATCCAAGAATTCCAATCTAAGGAAGCAGCTTAGAGAACATATTTTATTGAACATATCATGATACAGAGTCAATGCAAAATGATAAACCCAATAGCCTAACTGGTATGGAATAACTCACATTCCAATCTTCATCAATAGTTACCTAATCAAGATCGAACTGAATTCAAAAGCTGTAATTCCAAATATGTGATCAGGGATCATTCACTATGTTGCCTATTTTATGCTTATAGTACTAAACCACAGTAGCTCTCCTACAATCCTTTTATCACAGGATCATCACCGAGGTGGCGCAGCAGTTAGAGTGCAGTACTGCAGGACACTTTAGCTGACTGTATTCAGCAGGTCAGCGGTTCAAATCCCACTGGCTCAAGGTTGACTCAGCCTTCCATCCTTCCGGGGTAGGTAAAATGAGGACCCAGATTGTTGGGGGCAATGTAAATATATATATACATTGCTTACTGGTGTACACCACTTAGAGAGTGCTTGCACTTAAAGCAGTGCATAAATAAATAAATAAATAAATAAATCACATGAAAAGAACAAAAACTTCTGCTTGTAACCTACCCTGTTGTCCATTGCTTTCTCCACCTTTGCTAAAGTAAGCTTGTCAGAAAATACATGCACATTATCATTGGAAATGGATTGTGAACAGATTTGTTCTTAACTTCTCAACAAAGTCCTATGACAGTGATGGCGAACCTTTTAGAGACTGAGTGCCCAAACAGCAACCCAAAACCCACTTATGCATCATCGAGTGCCGGGTGGGTGTGGCCCATTGGGTGGGTGTGGCTGTGGTGGTAACGGCAGACTGGGTGGGACTAAAAGTTCAATCAATCAATTCCAACTTTGCAAGATCTTTTTTTTTTCCCCGAGAAGTTAAAATTGACTGATTGAACCTTTTTTTTTTTGTACACGGTGGCGGAGTACTAAAGCGAAAAGGTTTTATAAAACTCAACTGAAGGCCTAGGACACGGTGCGCATGCCCACAGAGTAGGCTATGAGATTTGGGACAATTCAGGGATATCATATAGAAGGGTAAATTCATTTAAGGAAATCAGAAACAGAAAGTATATTATTAACCCAATAAACAAGGGATATTGAATATGTAGAAAGATGTCCCAGAATTCTTCTAAACATGACTTCATCATTAAAAAATAATTCTCAGGTCCAATAAAGCAAATTGGAAATGAGAGAATCCAATTAGGACAAAAGAAAACATGATTTTACTACAAAGAGGTAGGTCCAGGAATCTGGCAAAGATTATGAATGTTACAGACCTCTGAAATTGGGATGGAACCAGATTGGGGTGGTTGATTTAAATGTAAAGCTAAATTTTTAAAAAAGGGAGAGGGAATTCTATCAGATAGAAATGATAAAATGTTGCAAATGAGATAGGCAGCCATGGATGTTTAATTCTATTTAGCTCTATTCATAAAATTTGTTGAATTTTAGTAGTTGCCAACTTTTATCATACATTTATGAGAAACAACACTTTCTTCCCTACCATTTTTAAAATCATCAGGAAAAAAGAGAAAGGAAAACAAGAGTAAAGACACATAAGAAATAACATACTATTTAAAATATCTAGAAATAACATACTATTTAAAATATATACCATATTTTCTGGGGTATAAGACGACTGGGCGTATAAGACAATCTCTGACTTTTGAGAAGATTTTCATGGTTTAGAAAGTCATCTAATACGCCAGAAAATACGGTATTTATTTCCTTAATTTCTTATTCTTTTTAACCATAATTAAGAATATAATTAATCTTTAATCTTTAAACATTCCATTCAATATATCTAGTCCTCTAGTCCTTTAACTCTTACTCACAACATTTTTTTTTTAATTTTCTTAGATTCAGTCACATTTAAGTATCTAAGACGGAAAAGTATCTGAAGCTTCATGTTTCCTGTCATGAAAGATGGAGAATACCGAATGTTTTAGAAAGTCATTTTTCAGGTCAGATCATGATCTTTTAGGCCAAGGTTGGCATCTAAAAAGTATATTGAATCACCGAAAGCACCAAAACTTCTCTCTTGCATTTTTCCAATGACTATCTTATATTTTACCCTTTGATTTGAATGATCCTTCTTCAATAAACTACCACTAGGATGTCCAAAGCTTGCAATGGATTCCCCAGATCAAATAGCAAAGCAAAAGTACTCATGGAGTAGATTAATGTTGCTGCCAGTACAGATTTGTGAGAAAAGTTGGTAACTTTTCATCGTGAATGAAGAATATTCAAAAGCTGACATTCCATTCCAAAACATTCTTGAGATTCAACCTTGACTGAAGCAATGGGTATTAATATCACAGTTTCAAATACTGGGCAAGGGGAATTCAGCTCCTGCTTCTTACAAGGAAAAGGAAAAGCAAGGAAAAATAATGGGAAAACATCTTTGACGGATAGACCTTCAACTCTAACAACAATGACAATGACAATGTCAACGACAACAACAACAACAATAATAATAATGTTGGAAGGGATCTTGGAGGTCTTCTAGTCCAATCCCCTGCTCAGGCAGGAAACCCTATACCATTTCAAACAAATGGTTGTCCAGTCTCTTCTTAAAACTTCCAGTGTTGGAGCATTCACCACTTCTGGAGGCAGGTTGTTTCACTGGTTAATTGTTCTCACTGTCAGGAAATTTCTCCTTAGTTCTAGGTTGCTTCTCTCCTTGATTAGTTTCTATCCGTTGCTTCTTGTCCTACCTTCAGGTGCTTTGGAGAATAGCTTGACTCCCTCTTCTTTGTGGCAACCCCTGAGATATTGGAATATGGATATATATATATATATATATATATATATATATATATATATATATATATATATATATACCCAAGTCCAGCAACCGTTCTTCATATGTTTTAGCCTCCAGTCCTCTGAAGCATAGGATTGCTTCTCCAAAGAGATCTATGTTTTAGGGATAGCTGGAATCCTTTTTCTTAACACTTTGCAAATTGCTTCCTTCACTTCATTGTTCCTAATGGTGTAAATGAAAGGATTTAGCACTGGAGCGACTATGGCGTTCACCACAGAAACAGACTTGATTACACCAAAGGAAGAATTCTTGATGGTTGGTCTTAAGTAGACAAAAAAGACTGATCCATAGAAAATGCAGACTACAATCAGATGGGAAGCACAGGTAGAAAAAGCTCTCTGCTGACTGGTGGTTGAAGACATTCGGAGAATGGTGCAAATGATGAAGAGGTAAGAAATGAGGGTGAAAAGCAGGGAGGACATCACCACAAGCATAGTAACAAGGAAGCCAAGAACTTCAATGACATCTATATCTCCACCTGCAATTTGCAACACAGGTCCAACATCGCAGAAGAAATGATCTATAATGTTGGAGGCACAGAAGGGAAGGTTTGCAATCATTACTACCTGGTAAATTATGGAGGAAAAACCTACAAACCAGGCAGTTATTGCCAGTTTACGGCAGACCCCCGAAGTCATGATAATGGCATATCTCAAAGGATGGCAAATAGCTAAGTATCTGTCCAAGGATATCAAAGTGATGATGAAAAATTCAGTGACCCCAAAAAGGAAGTAGAAGCACATCTGTATGATGCAGCAATCAAAACAGATGGAATTACTACCAGAGATATAATTGATCAATGACTTAGGTATGAAGGCTGTGGTGTGCCCAATGTCAATTAAAGAAAGGTTGCTAAGAAAGAAATACATGGGTTTCTGGAGATGGCGATCTATGCTTACTATTACAATAATGAGCCCATTGCCCATCAGACAAAGGACATAAAACAGAAAGACACTGGCGTACATCACCCTTTCCATTCCCAAAATACTTGGCAGTCCAACAAGAATAAATCTGGATGTCCTTGTACAGTTGGTCAAATTCATGTTTCCTTGTGTTACAAAGAGGGGGTGGTGGTGTGGTGGCTCAGTGTTAAGATGCTGAGCTTGTCGGCTGATAACTTGTAAGTTTTTGTGGATTTCAGCTCACAAAGTTTGCAGTTTCTTTATATCCTAGGAGAGCAACATCTGCCATTACTTAGGATTGAACTCTCAACCTTCCGAGTGAGAAGTGAGTGTCTTCACCACTAGGTCGCCACACTGAGCTTCCTCCTTCTACACATCAGGTGCCTAAAAAGCTCTCCACCCATATCTTGACTTGTTCTTCCTTCATTACCTGCCTTGTCTTCTACAAATGCTTTTCGTTCCATTTCTCCATCCATTTAGAAAGACAGTGTTTTGAAGAGATCATAGAAAATAATACATCGTATGTTGAGGGTGAAATGGTAGTCTTGCTGAGAAACACTTTCTATAACTATTAAAGAAAATAACAGAGTAACAGAGTTAGACAGGACCTTAGAGTTCTTCTAATCCAAACCCCTGCCCAAGCAAGAGACCCTATCCCATTTAAGATAAATGGTGTCCAATCTTTTATTAATAAACCTCCAGTGATGGAGCACTCCCAACCTCTGGAGACAAGTCATTCCACTGACTGTCAGAAATTTCTTCTTTGTTCCAGGTTGCTTCTCTCTTTGATGAGTTTCGATCCTTTGCTTCTTGTCCTGCCTTCAGCTGTTTTGGAGAATAGCTTGACTCCCTCTTCTTTGTGGCAGGCCCTGAGACATTGGAACACTGCTGAAAACATTTATCAGATTGCATCATAGAAAGTTTATTTACTGATTCTCTACAGGAACTTGGGAGGCAGTGTCTCAGGATGTTTGCCTTTAATTTCCCATGAGTATCCATGCACTACACCTACAATATATTCAAGGCTGATATCATTTTGAAGGCAAACTTCAAATGCCATCCCAAGATAGGAGGTTTTCTGGAGGCTCTCTGGAGGCACACCAGCAAGGATAAACTGTACAAAGACAAACTCTTTTATAGTTGGTTTAATTCCCATTTCTCTTCAGCATGATGATGGAGAATCCACGGATGGGTTGTCTTAATCTATCTGCTCCAATTGGACTAAGTCTGAAATTGGTAACACCCCCTCTGTGCCAAGTGCACCCCAGTTTTAGACTAAGGCGATACCCAGACTTTAGTCCGACGCGTCTGAACAAATGGGAACCAGGCCAACTGACCTAATGGGAGGGAGTGGATTCTCCATCATCATGCTGAGAAAAGGCGTTCAGGTAAGACAACGCCCCTTTCTCCAGCATGATTGGATGGAGAACCCACGGATGGGACATACCAAAGCCCTGTGTCCCTAGGGTGGGAAATTAGATTGGGCCTGGGTCCCATCCAATGTTAATGTGTGTTCTAGTACCTTGCGGCCGAATGAAGCCGTAGAGGATGCGTATACATCCATCTTGTAGTGACGGACAAAGGAGGAGGGCGATGCCCATGTTGCTGCCCTACAAACTTCCTCTATGGATGCCTGGGTAGACCAGGCTGCTGTAGTGGCTGCGCCCCTGGTGGAATGGGCCGTGATATGGCTGGGAGCTTGAAGTGACTGAGTCTGGTATGCCAGAGAAATACAAGCTCTAATCCACCTGCCTATAGTGGGCGAGGAAACCTTTTGTCCTAACGACGATGGGTGAAATGACACAAACAGAGCCTCAGTCTTGCGGAAAGATGAGGTTCTCTGTATATAACAATATAAGGCCCTGCGAACATCCAATCTGTTCCACTGAGCCTCTGTGTTATTAGATGGGTTCGGACAGAAGTCCGGCAAAACTATGTCCTGGGACCTATGATATAAGGAGTTAACCTTGGGCACAAAGGAGGGATCTAACCTGAGAGTAACCCTGTCCTTATGGAAAATACACAGGTCCTTTCTTACTGATAGGGCAGCCAGCTCAGAGATCCTTCTGGCTGAAGTTATGGCAACCAGAAATGCCACCTTCATTGATAAATGTTTGAGCAAACAATTGTCAATAGGCTCAAAGGGTGGTGAGACGAGAGCCTGTAGAACCTGATGAAGGTCCCAGGAGGGATATCTATGTACCGTTGGTGGTCTGGCATTGTTAGCTCCCTTTAGGAAGGAGCGTATCATAGGGTGTTGTGTTAAGGGCTCCTTGCCATAGGAAATAACCGTGGCAAGTGCTGCTACCTGCCTACGGATGGTACTTGTGGAAAGACCTTTGTCCAGACCATCCATCAGGAACTCCAGGATAACTGGCACTGCAGCCTGTAAGGGTTCAATATTGTGTGCTAAACACCAATTACAGAAGCTCTTCCACGTGGCATCATATATTCTATTCGTCGAGGGTCGCCTGGATTGCTGGATCATGGCTATGACCCTTGACGAATATGAGTCTAGGCCTAAGGCCTGCCTCTCAAGTGCCAGACGGTTAACTGGAGCCATTGAGGGTCTGGATGATGCAACTCCCCCTGAATGAGGGAGATCCGATTGGCTGGAATCCTCCATGGAGCCGATGCGGAGAGCTCCATCAGGTCGGCGAACCAAGGTCGTCTCGGCCAATGTGGGGCGACCAGGAGAACCTCTGCTTGTTCGCGAAGGATCTTCCTGATCGTGGCCCGTAGGAGAGGTAGTGGAGGAAAGGCATAGAGCAGTTCCCTGGGCCAGGGACTGCGGAGTGCATCTGTTCCTTCCGCTGATGGGGACGGGAACCTGGAAAGGAATCTGGGAAGCTGTGAGTTGGCTGGGGAGGCAAACAGATCTAGGGATGGGGAACCAAACCTGTCCACGATCTCCCTGAAGCTCTCCGGATTCAGCTGCCATTCGGAATGGTCCACGGTGGCTCTGCTCAGTGAGTCCGCCTGTTGGTTGGCCACTCCGGATATATGCTCCGCCCTGATGGAGGCAAGATTCAGTTCCGCCCAAGACCCCAGCAATCTGGCCTCTCGCATGAGAGGCTTGGACCTCGTTCCCCCCTGTCTGTTGATATGGGCCTTGGCTGTGATGTTGTCGGTTAAGACCAGGACGTGCTGGCCTTGTACTAAGCTGCTGAATCTCTTTAGGGCCATGTGTATGGCTCTTAGTTCCAGCCAGTTTATGTTGTTCTTTAGATCCTGCTTGGACCACTGACCCTGGGCCCAGTGTGTGTGGAGGTGTGCCCCCCACCCAAACAGGCTTGCGTCTGTGGTGACGGTGATCCTGTCCGGTTCTTTGAATTCTGCTCCCCCGTGACAGTGCTGGAGAGTCCCACCAACGAAGGGAGTTCAACACCGCCTGTGGAACTCGGACCTTCTGGTGGGATGTGCTGGTATGAAGTCTCTGAAATGGAAGGAGAAGCCACTGTAATTCCCTGGCATGGAGACGTGCCCATGGCACAATTTGCACGCAGGACACCATCTTCCCTAGTAGCTGTGAAAGGGATGCCAATGTGACTACTCTGTCCCTTCGGATCCGACGTACAAGAGTCTGGATAGAGTTCCGTCGGTCCTGAGATAGGTATACCGTGCAGTTGTCTGTGTCTATAACTGCCCCCAAATGGAGGAGCCGAGTTGTTGGTATAGTATGACTTTTCTGGAAGTTCACAGAAAAACCGTGCTCCTGTAAAACCTTAATGGCTAGGGCGAGGTCTGCTTGGGCACTTTGCCATGATGATGACTGAATTAGAATGTCATCTAAATAACATTGAATCCTGATGGGAATTAGTCTAAGGTGGGCTGCGATCACTGCCAGTACCTTTGTAAATACTCTCGGTGCAGATGAGAGGCCAAATGGAAGGGCTCTGTACTGGTAATGGCGTCGGGCATAACTAAATCTGAGGAATTTGCGGTGTCCAGGAAAAATGGGAATGTGCAAATATGCCTCAGTCAGGTCTATGGAGGTAAGAAAGTCACCTTGCCTGACGCTAGCCAGGATTGATTGAAGTGATTGCATCTTAAATTTCTTATACCTCAGGTAGAGGTTTAGACCTTTTAAGTTCAAGATCGCCCTCCAGCCCCCTGAAGCTTTGGAAATGACGAAGAGGTCTGCGTAGAACCCTCGCCCTTCTTGTTCCTTTGGAACTGGTTCAATTGCTTGTATTTGCAATAAATGAGCTATTGCTTCTGACATAAGTTCAGCTCTGGTCCTGTTCGTTGAAATAGGGGAAGAGCGGAACCTGTCGGGTGGATGGGAATAAAACTCTAATCGTAGACCTTGGGAGACGGTGTCTAACACCCATGCATCCGTAGTAGTGGCCGCCCAAATGTTGGAATAGAGGGCCAGCCGGCCTCCTATAGGAGGTGAGGCTGCAGACTCACTTGCCTCGCTTGAAGGAGTGGCTCCCTGTGCCCCGAAAGGACCGTTTAGTCTGGAACTGTGATCTGCCTCTGTATGCTGAACGATCTTGTTGTCGTTCCTGCCTCTGAAAGGAGGGGCGAGAGGCCTGGGCCCAATCCCAGGATGGCGCTGGCCGAAAGGGCTGCCTTCTGTAGTTACTCTGCGACAAGTTCCCCCAGCGCCTATCTCCCCTCCTTGATGTATTGACCAGGATCTTGCGTTTATCCTTACCTTCGGTTAGGTATGGCTCTAGCACCTTACCAAAGAGTTGTCCACCTGTGTAAGGCTTGGAGGCCAGACGCCACTTGGCCTTGGTGTCTGCTCGCCAGTTCCTGAGCCAGAGGAGTCTTCGTGCTGAAATGTCTGCCGCGATGGTCCGGGCAGTGTATCTGGCCGTGTGTAAGGAGGCATCGGCCAGATACTGGGACGTGGCCACCAACTTACCCAGATTCTGGTGGACTCTGAGCTGGTCTGGAGGGATCATGTCCTGGAGCTCCCATAGCCACAGGACCGAAGCCCTGGCAAAGAAGGCCATGGAGGTTGCCGCCCTCGTTGCCCAGGCTGACGCTTGGTGGGCTCTGCATAGGGCAGACTCGATCTTCTTGTCCTCTGCTCTTAGTGCCTCATTTATGTCCCCAGGAATATTGGACTTGGGAAACAACGAGTTCAAGGGTTCATCAATTTCGGGTATCTCCAAAAGGGAGGTCAGGGAAGGAGCGACGTTGAACAATTGTCTTTCTACTGCCCCAGGGCTCAAGGGGGACCCTAGGTTCTCCCATTGCTTCTGGACCATCTTTAGGAAAAGGGGAGGGCAGGGAATATGATTCTGTGAGACAGAGGGTTCAGTGTAAATGGCATGGGGACCTTGGGATGTTGGTGGGGTCTCCTGTTGTTGAGTGAGGTTAGCAGTAGTACAGGCTTTGAGTAAGAGAGAATTAAAAAAGGAATGGTCAAAGAGACCAACAGGAGGGGTGGGTTCGGATGGGGCGATGCCCTCGTCCTCAGACAAGATCAGGTCAGGTTGTTCAGCTCCCGTAGACTCCAGGTCTGATGTGGGGCCATCCGTCCAGTCCGGAGATTGTGAGTGATGTGCGGTCTCGGAGGGTGGCTATGGAGTGTTGGAGGCCATAAATTGAGCCACAGCCTGGGCTATCATGGACTGGAGCAAGTTTGGGTTCAGGGCCTGGTTCTCAGGGAGGCAAAGCCCTGCTGCAGTGGGTGTAAATGTGGCCTGGGGCCCTGAGGTGTCCTGACCAGTCATACCCCTCCCTGAGGTCACCGCTATGCTTGAGTCTGACTCGGCAATTCCTCGAGGGGGAGACCAAGCCCCTGGGGCCGAGGCACTATGT